TGGCTTGCTCGCACCCCTAAGTCCGCCTACTACAGRCTGATACGTGCAGCCCACYCACTGTTGCAGCCTCYTGCTGTTCACCAGTTCTCTATTCGAAAAGAGGTAAGCCAACCCCCCCCTTTTCACTCTTCGCTGCCCTCACAGTACCCTGCCAACCGGTCTGGACAACACACCAGTCAACAGGTGAGCCCCCAGCTTCTYGGCCATCGGTTCCCACTGTGCCCTGAGCTAGGGAGTCTCCTCGACGACTATCCGCCACTTGTTGTAGGCCACMYWGGGCRACCCCRCCSTGATGTAATTGGCTTGATGGGTGGCAGCATTCCGACCAGGTAAGTAACCTCTCCTCCTCTTTTTCTCTACGTTGCTTACTGCAGGGGGTCGTGTCCAGTATGAACACGTATGAGAGAATCAAAGAGAAAACAAGGGAAAATCGGGAATGAATCTTTCGCTAAATCGCATCCAGATTCATGCTCCAGGTAAGCYCCCCTCTTTCTGATCCTTCGTATAGCCGACAACGCAGTCTGTACCTTTCTCAACGCAAAAACTAACCCCTCTTACCTAAGTCYGACTATTTCGACTAATTCGGAGTACTCTAAAACCTCACCTAAGCAACTTTACTTACTTGATTCTATAAAGAATCGAGTAAGTTATGTTCCATTTTYTCTCCTTCGYCACAGCYWGTTCCCGCCATTATCACRCAGTAATTTTTCAATTAACTCATCGTTTTACTAACTTTCTAGTCAACCTRACCACAGAATCGGGATCGCCTACCTAAAACCTCCACCTAACATCCTAGCTCGCTCGTTTCCATTGTGTATMGAGTGAGACCTCGATTCTCACCCCKACCACCTCCGCCATAGCCATTCCCACGCAYATCCTCSYCGAACTAACTCTTCTCCTACTCAAACTAACGCTAAAACCAACAGCAGATTCGAACTCGACCGACCGAGAAAAGTTAGTCTAGTATCTTAGTTCRTCGAAATYGGTCAGAAAACGAACGAGTTAGTGCAATTTCACTTTCGTTCGTCTCCCTCCCCGACACTCTCCGCGCACGACTTTTCCTTAGTAGCATCTAACTTACTAATCTTCAGCCTAATCTAACCTCATATYCGGGGTCGCTGGCCYCGAAAACCCCCGGATTCGAGCCTTCCTTTCCCTGACTTCGTCCACRAACGACCCCTTTCTTYTTTYTCCCTTCCACCCCCTCGATATCTCCACGCACTGACTTTTCTTCCTACCTCCTATTACACTCCGCCTTTTTCCAATCCACCTTCACCACTGGATTCGCCTTCYCTCAAAGTCCCAACTTCRACTCSTACCTCACCCAAATTGGTTCAAGAACGGACGAGATATGCCGATTCTCCTTCTCTAGACTATCTTCCTTCCCCGCCATCACCACTGCTCCAGTCGCGTGCACCTTGCACACAAACCCGTCCGGGTTCGTCCACCGTTTGCGCCACCTTACCTTTTCCCTGTCGTCCGCCTTTGCCACGTCCCTCGCTGCGCTCCCCTCTGCTTAGCGCAGTCCGGTGGCCCGCTGCGCTATCGCCCGTTGCTCTGCGCTCTCTTACTCCGCACGCACCTCGCCAAGGATCACGTCCAGGTTCGCCCCTAGGTACTACCTCCCCGTGCCTCACCACTCCGTAGTGCTTCGTTCGTCCGCCCAACTTGTCGTTGCTCCCGTCACAGCGCTCTCCCTGTCTGCGCTGCCACCTACTCCGGCTCCCCGTCATTCCCCCGCCTTTGCTTAGCGCAGCCTGGCCCTTTCGAAGCTACGGGCTCGACAGAAAATAAAAAAAGAATCTCAAAGAGGGAAACTCGTTGACTGTCGGCCCTCTCGGCTCTTTATGCACGCCACCTTTGTGCAGGGTCACGCTAATCTTCCCTGTATCGTTCCAATTTTAACGAATGTCCTGAAGGACTCAAACGGGGCAGCCCCCGCCGATTTACTCTAACGACGCCGTAGTGGTCACGCGCGCCCCACCGTGCGGGTACCTGGCGCGGTCCTATCTCAATGTTCTGCCCCCTTCCGGCTACGGTCGGAAGGTATTTTCCCATGGGCGAACTCCGCCCTTGCTACCCAAACCAAATACCGCCCGCCACTGTGCAGATCGGCAGGGAAGAAACAGCCCCGATACCTTCCGCTCCCTGTGCTTTCGTTGTGTCACGGCACCCCTTGACCTTTTTTTGTGAGACGTGTAGGATTGGAGAATTTCGCCGGCATACCGAACGCACAGGAACCTGTAGGCCAGCCAAAGAGGTGCGTGCTCAAGGTCCTCGACTGCCGGAACGGCCACTCAATCCGTCACCACGTTCAAGCCAAATGGACGTCGGGGCACATAAATAATATTATATATATATATGTATTAATATTACGACGTAAAGGTGATTCACTTAGAGAAAATGCCACCACCGATCGAACGCCGTCGATGGCAAAACCAAGGGGGATAGCCCCACGACCCTTAACCCCATCGGCTCCCTCCTCGATGCTCCGCTGCCGCTGCGTCGGCGCTTGCAGGCCTCGATCCCCGAGCCTTCGTAGTGTCAGTCCAATGTCGTAACCTATACGGCTAAGCCGAAGCCTCAGACCAGCGCCCGCAGAGTACCATATAAGACAGTGCAGCGCGGCACTTTGGGCCAACAAACCGGCTGCGCGGCTCCCATTGCCCGCGCCGACTTGCTTATACCATGCTATAATTGCCCCGCGCGCCATCCTACGACATCCGGCTCACCGCACAAAATCGCGCCGTTATTGCCGATGCCGTTATCGGGGTCGTTCTCCGCACGCGCGCTCGACTTGGTCAAATGCACCAATTAAAAGAAAATATCCTTAATTCCTGCTTAATCAAAAATAAATAAATAATAATAATATCACGAAGCAAAACGACCGAGGTCCGGACCGGCTTTATGATCAACAACAGAAAAGAATCACGCGCGCCTTAAACCTGCACGCCCACGCACTCGCTATTGTGGTCAACCACCTAGTCAGCGTAATTACTGACGCAGCCGCGCTTAGCGCGGTATACTTAAACTCTAGACCAAAACTATTTTCTGTCACTTGCAAAAACCAGGGCGGATACCCTTGTAAGGGTATTCGCACCGACAACTTACCGGACCATATTAAGCGACGTCCATGTCGCTTCGCCAAATCAGAAAGCTATAAATCCATCCACACTCCAAATGCTAAAGAGAAAGGAGCCAATTCGATTAGCCGACAAACACAGGGTAGAGGCCTCCATCAAAGCAAGCCTCCACAACTATATGCTGCCAGGTTTCTAACCTGGGCCTCTCATCGCCCAGAAATTAGGACGCTGACCACATAAGTTCCAAAGACCTTCTCAATCGTCCTCTCCCCGGTCCTAGACAACCTTCGGCTTCTTGTTGGGTGTCCCTAGTCCTGACAAAAACTAGGGACGTGGGCCTTAATCGAGACCTTTTGAAGGCACTCTCGCCTTCCTTCTCAAAATCTCTCGCAATCAAATACACATAAGTATATATGTATACTTAATATCCGCTCAGCTCTTTCTGCAGTCTAATACAGAAAGGCTAGGTCTCCACCTTGGCCCACCATAGCCTGGCTGATCGGACCAGGATCACGGCCCACCGCATTGTTATTTAGCAGCAGTACCCTCGTTGGTTACGCAACGATAGGTTTTCTCCTGATAAGCATTCAATCAGGATTTTTCCCAAAAATTATCAACCATCACTATCCCATGGAGTAATTTCACTAGGGCGGGCACCTCCCCTTAAACTCTTACCCACGCGGTCCCGCAGCCAGGTTGCGCCGACTAGCAGCCATCCAATGGGGTTACGCCCTAGAGGTACTAACTTCTTTTCCGTTAGCTTGGCCTTTCTTCAATATGTCTCAGAATTAGCATCAGTGGTTAGACGGGGGCGTCGCAAAACAAAATCACTGGGTCACTGCACGATACGCAGGGGTCCGAAGACATTTACCAGCCCTCCCTCGATAGGCATGGAATCCTTCGCACGCTTACAAACAAAATCACCGCTAAATCCATCAGGCTGTGACCCCCGACTTGATCAGAGCCAGCAGCCACCCACCCTGAGACATTTGTCGCCCTGCACTCACTGCGACTTTCTCAAACATTCCAAAAAAAAGTGACCCTTTTCGTCAGACTTTATCACTCGTCAGACAACTTAACATGCCATAAATCAGTTTACTCACTTTTGAAGGTGAGTCTTCCAACAACAAAAACATCCCCTTTTCCAAAAATCCAAGGGGCTCTCATCATAAAACAAAACACCCCCTCTTCCAAAAATCACGAGGGGTTTCACCATAGAACAAAAACGCTCTCTATTCCAAAAGTCACGAGGGGTCTCATCATAAAACCAAACACCCCCTCTTTCAAAGTGACGAGGGGTTTCGTTATAGCACAAAACATCATAAAACATTCCCCTTCTCCAAAATTCAAGGGGGTCCCATCATAAAACAGAACATCACTGAGAGACCATCTTATGGGTCTTCATCACTACTTAAGCAATCAACAATCAACATGGTAAGCATTTTCAGCCTCCAGGGCTCATAAATCTTCAAAATCCTCACAACCTTTCACAGACGGACTGCACTTCCTCCCCTTATACTCTGCCTTATTAGTTGCCCATGGGCAGGTCGCACAAGTATACCGAGGAGTAGACAGTTTTGCTTACAGTCATATTCACAGTACCCATGACACATAAGATGTTTTTCACACATTGTTCACACAAACTCATCATACATCAGAGTACAATCACACATGTGAGAGAGACAAGTGATCGTCACATATGAGAATGGTCCCTAAAATAAAATCTCATCATAATATACACTCAGGCAATAAAATGTCTCATACAGAAAGTGTCTCCAAATCATAGCTCACTCAATTCAAGCCAAACCAAACCCACACTCACAACTACCCCTAGAATACATGTCTGATCTGTCTCTCAAAGCCTGTGCGTAGGCCACCTAAATATGTACGTGCCTCATCTAGATCACCCTGATCCTCAAGACTCCAGCTCAGTAGGAACACTAGAGTTCAGATCTAGACTAGTAGCAATCATCAAAAGGTCCTCTGAGTCTAAGAGGGTATCACACTGAACCTAAGCTGATGCCTCACAAAATACTCGCCCACTTACATAGACAAACCGACCCTACTTCCTCAACTCCTTCTGGTTTTGCCTATATAACTGAGCCCTAAGTCCATCGGCGAACTTCTCTACTATCCTACCCTGTTTATCATACATCTTACCCCCTGCCTCTGAGACCTTCCCTTCTGCCTTATCCTCAAGGAACTCGGGACATTCCAAAGCCAGATGCATGCCCCTCTTGCAGTAGAAGCATAACTGGTCAACCTTCCTCTTGAACTTCTTCTTCTGGGCTTAGAGGGTGGCGATGAAGGAGATCTTACCAAGGTACTGACGAACCCCTGCTGCTCTGATCGAGGAGTTGTGGTACTAACCACCTCCTGTTGCTCTATCCCAGGAACCGATCCCCCAGACCCAGATCTAGTAGCCCAAGATCCCAGTCTGCTCCTCAAATCCCCTGTCGCTGGGACGCACTCAGGCACGTCCAACCTCTGAGGTCTGCTCTCGAGCATCTCCCCTGGCACCACCACGGGCTGCTGCTCAATTTCCTCTGGCTCATACTCAGGCGTGCCCAGCCTCTGGAGCCCTCCCTCGATGACACCCTCCGCCTCAATCCCCATCTCTCTCTCAAGAGGGTCCTCTATCCTCTGCTCGGGTGAAAACAAACTCGCCTCCTCCTGCATGGTATGCACTGCCCGAAGGAGCACGCCCATGGATCCCTCTGCTGAGCCCTGAGCCGGCTCACTGCTAGATGGTGGTAGCCCCTCCTCAACTGCCAAAGGTACGACTGGGCCCGCCGTTGCTACTGGCAGCGTCGCGAGCTCGGTAGGGGCTCTGAACTCGAACGCCTCTCTCTCCTCCTGTTTCCTGACTCTCGCCTCCTCTGGCTCAAGGATAACTCTCCCCATAGGTGGCTCCTGGCGAGGCTCTGCTGCAGATGGCAATCCTGGTAACCCATGTCCTGGCTGCCTCTGCTCTCCCTGCCTGCTGCTCTCTGGCTTGTCCACCTTTCCCTGGGTTTGCTGCCTCAGGCTCTCAATGATAGCTGCCTGGCTGACCACCAATGCCCTGAGTTCCTAGATTTCCATCTCCATAGCCCTTGGCGTACTTCATGGCTTGCTTCCTTTATCTTCTTCCCTGCCAGATCGCCCTCCAATAACAAGTGCCGGTCAAAAGTTGTCTTGGCCATGAACTTGATTTTTCGATCCAATCTCTCATCCGCCTTTCTTGCTACCCCAAACCCGGCTATGACTGGCGAAGGAAGCTCCTCTCCTCTCTGCTTCCAGAAGTCCCTCCACATCTCATGGATCTCCAGGGCCCTAGCTGGCGCGCTGGGTGGCTAACCTAGGAGCGTCCCTGCTGCCTCCGATGTTTGCCTCTCCTGCCGCTGCTCTGGAAGCTCCCCCGCTGCCTCCAACCTCTATTCTCTTGCCATATCTCGTCTATCCTCCTGGCTCTTCTCGCCCTCTTTTCCTCTGCTGTCTCTCCAGCTGGCGCTCTTTCCCTCGTGCGGAGGTCGACCCTCTTCGGGATCTCTGCCTCCATCTCCTTCTTGGGCTGGCACGACTTCTGGCGCGGCTTTGCATGTACTGGCTCTTCCAGGTCTGGGTGCTCCAGGGCATGAGCTGCTAGGTGCCTGTCAATCAGGATCAAGGCTTCTCTCCTTATAGTTGCCCTCTCTCTCCTCCTTTCTACCTCCCTTCTGGTGAAGGGGTCTTTTCTGATGAAGGCAATGGGGCCTCCTCTCTCTGCAACCTCTCCCCTGCCTGGCGAGTGCTCCCTGGTGCATCCCCGAGTCTCAAACCCACCGCTGGCGTCTGTGGGGGCGTGTCCTCTCCAACCTCTATCACTTCCTTCCCTGCACGTCTCCCCTAATCGCCCATCCATCTCTCTCGCTGGGTATCTCGGACCTCCTCTCGTGGCACCTCCTCTCGTGACACCTCCTCTCGTGGTACCCCCTCCTGTGGCATCTCCTCTGCCTGCTCTCCATGCTCCTCACCCTGAGGCGACGCCCTCCACCGAGAGATATCCAAATGCGTCTCCAATTCCCTCAAGGGTCCCTCAGATGCTGGCGGCTCCTCTTGCGTGCGTGTTGGCGACCTCCTCAATCCACCCTCGGTGAACTGATGGAACTCCACTGGTCCCAACCCACACTCAGGGTATGCCTCTCGCTCCTCAGCCTCTTGCTCCGGCTCCGGTTCCTCTTCTCTCTTGGCTAGGGCCTTTCGTCCTCCTCGAGATGGTCTCGCCTCCTTGGGCTCAGGGTCCCTCTGCCTCTGACTCCTCTGACGCCTCTCAATTCTGGGCTGAGGGGGCTCTGGCTGTCGAAAGGCCTCTCTCAGATGTGCCTTGCAGCTTTCCCAGTCTCGGGCCATGCTTCTAACCTGTCTAGCCAGTGGTATTTCCGCCTTCCTGGTCCAGAGTGGTAATGTCTGCATCTAATCGTCTCTCGGTATACCCTGCCCCTGCATGAACCACTCAAACGCGGGGATGAAGTCTGACGCGTTTCCAATCTCCAGGTGGATCGGCCTGCCATCAGATCTCACAGGCGAGGGTCGCAGCTCCTGCATCCTCAACTCCACCTCTGTCCTCGTCGTCGCCTCTCTATGGATCCGTGCGATGGGCTCCTCGAATCTGCCGACTCCCCTCAGCATCTCAATCCCCTGGATCACAGTCCAACCCATACGTCGCGCATGCTCCCAGAAGCTGTCTAGGAATAGCTCGATATCGCCACCGTCGTACTCTGGAGTGTTCTCTCAATGGCGAGGCCCAGGCCGCTCAAATCCTCCTGATGCGTCCAACGGCCGCTGAGGCGGCCGTGTCCCCTTCCCTCCTCTTGGCATGACTGTCTTCGTAAAGTCAGACCTGCACAACAGGCGAAGGAGACAACAGACACACATTTGGGTAAGCAAACAGGTGATAGTCAAAGCAAGCTCAGATGATAGTCAAAGCAAGCTCAGACCAGACCACGCTCATGCAACATGCATCCTACCTAACCTACATACCCTATTACTTCTATTATAAAGGTAGTGAGGTCATCTCTCTTACCTCTTCTCTCGCCACAAATTTCTTCAGTCACATTCCAGATACCCAATCCTTCCACTCAGTCGCATTTAACTCTTCAATCTGGTATGCTCCGAAGTCTCCAACCCGTACGATCCGATAGGGACCTAACCACCTCTTATCGAGCTTCCTAGACCACTGCTTCTCCAAAGATGAATCATAGAGGAGCACGACATCCCCAACTGCCAAAGGTATTTTCCTCACCCACGCAGACTGATCCCATCGAGTCTTATCATCCATTCGGCTTCTCGCCATCTGATCGGACGCCTCCTGGATCCTTTCTTCTATCCCCCCTATCTGCCGCGCCCGAATATCGAGCAGTTCTTTGAATGACAGGCTAACCTCCAGATCCTAGCGCCTCCATGTCTTAAGAAAACTCTCGATAGGGAAGGTGGCGTGCCTTCCATACCACAGCGTCGCCGGTGCGTACTTGGTGGATCTTTTTACTGTAATGTTCTCGACAAAGAACGCCGCCCTTAGGTATCTTGGCCATTGATTAGGCCTACCTTCGATTCACTTAGCCAGGAGGCTCGTAATAGTACTATGTCCTCTCTCCACGTGAGCATTTGCCTGGGGGTGCGAGGCCGTGGTGTAGCTGGTTGCTACACTATACCTTGATAACAATTCTTGCACCTCCTGGCAAGTAAACTCTGATCCCCTGTCCATTACGAATTCCCTGACGAAAGGATAGCGTAGATAGTACTCCTCGATGCAACTTACCAAGACTGACCCGGTCTTTGTGCGAATAGCACGCCCATCTACGAGCCCAGATAGGTTATCGCGCGCATCGAAGATATAGTTATACCCCTGATCCCCAAACGGCATAAAAAGTAGATCGAGATGCACTACGGCCCCCACCTCTCGCTCTAACCTTGGATGCAGCGACTCTCCTTGCCTTAAACGGGATCTCTCCTGGCAAGGTACGCAAGATCGACAGAATTTTCCGACCATGTCCATCATCCCGTCCCAGTAGTACAACTCACTTATTTTGGCATACCGTGGCTTGTACCCCTCGATGCCCTCCTGCAATGCCATCATGAAGCACTGCTACTACATCGATCTGACGATTCCTACCGCAGACAACTCTCCTGGGATTCCCCACTTCTCTTCTCACGAAAAGGTGGCCGTCTCGCACTAAGTAGCGCTGCAGCATCCTTTAAGCTCTATCGCTTGCATCCCTAAGCCGCATTTCACATGACAGAAGAAGCCCCAGCTCTAGGTAGATCCCGTCATACTCCTCTACACGAAAAGCCTCCTTAATCTCCCCCTCCTCGAACTCGTTGTCCTGACTCTCGGGCACTTTGTCCACATTCCCCGCCGGGTTCAACGAGCCTGACTGGCCGAGGCTTTCCTGCAATAGTGTGTTGACGAGGAGATACATTCCTCCCATCAGGTTCTCATGTCATTCTACTTGGTCAGGTCCTTCCTCAATCGTCCTCACGTCCTCCACCAGACTATGCGAGCTGGCCAGCGCTAACTCCATCATCCACTGAACACCCTTACCACCTAATGGATCCTCTTCTTCAAAGGGTTTGAGGACTAGCTCAACCCTCCTTTCATACCCATTTGGCGCTTGCCAGATAGGATAGCCTACACAGCTGGGCACTCGCGGCGGCCACTTGTTGATATGAAGACGAACATCTTCTTCCTGATCCATAAGTCAATCAACTGGGGGCGTATTCTCCACCACCTCCCCTTCCTGTTTATCCCAGTTGATCCGACTCAGCCCGTCCGCCCGGTTCTTATTACCAGGAATCCGTTCCAATTCGAAATTGAACATCTAGACGTACGTCATGGCTCTGCCGGAACCTCCGACGCTCACTTTCCGATTCTTGAATCGTGAAGGATCCTAGATTGGGCCGGTTTCTTATATTCCTCGGTCCTGTGTTCCTGCAGGTCATTATTTCGTAATTCCCGCAGGAAGGGTCGCATAAGAGGAGGATTAACATCCCGTCCTGCTTATTGAATATCACGGTCTCCGTCCTGCTTAGGAATGACCTCCCCAGGAGGATTCCGTGATCCACGTCTAGCATGATGAAGAAGCAAGCCCGGGCCTTCACCTTTCCAACCTCGATGAGTACATTTGAGGTTGTCCCACAAAATACGGCCTTGCAGCTGGCTCCGTGCAGAATACCGCAGTCGGAACGGTCTATATCCAGCCCGAATCTGATCGCGTCCGCTTCCCGACTAATGTTCATCTCTGCTCCGGTGTCCACCATTGCTGCGCACATGGAACCCTTCACCACCAAATTCATCGTGCCGCAGGCTACGCACTTCCAGTCCATCTTCGCACCTGACTCCGCCCACTCTGCCTCCTTGGGCAGGATCGTACCCAGATGGACATTGGGCACCAGGCGCCGCGACAATCTCTCGTTCAGTTCATCGCGGAGTCGCGGGGCCGACGCTAGGATTTCCTTCAGAGTCATGAGGTCATTGTGCCCTTCTAGTAGCCGGTCGATCACTTTTTCCACGTCAAACCCCTCCTCCAGCTGAACCGCGTACTTCTTCCTTTTGGGCGGTCCGTCGCGCATGACCGGCTCGACCTCTCCCCTGGCTCCCTTTTTCCTTGCCCGCTGCTCCGCTCTCTGATCCTCCTCCCTGCGCAGCCTCTCGTCCTCTTCCTCCTCATTGTCGTCATCCTCCACTTCCACAACCTCCTTTCTTTTTCCTGGCTCCAGCTCCCTCCTGGGAGGCTTTTGGCTGGCGCTGGCTTTGGCTTGACTTCTCTTTCGTGCTACCTGCGCCAGCCGGGCCTGCGGAGTGAGGGGTCTCCCCATCATTCCCGATTGTGGGCACAACCCTACCACATTTACTCTGGGTCGCCCAGGCGCTGACTCCGAACCAGAGTCGTAGAGGAACACCTTGGGGATGTTAGACTTCCATTTCCTCACTTCCTCACAGAGGCCCACCAACTTCTGTTGGTACTTCCCCATCTTATGCAGCAGGTCCTTCATTTTCCCAAACAAGACGGACGAAGGTTCCATACTTTCTTCCTCATTCTCGTCATCTGACTCAATGATTATGGGTTCTTCCCCCTTACTTCCTCCTCGTGGCCCTTGAGTCACTTCCTCATCGCTTTCCACTTCCTCTACCCCAATCGGTGGTTCTTCCTTTTCCTGCCATAACCTGAACATGGCAGGGGGTGGTGGCCCAGCTGCCGCCCTTCGTTGAGCTTCCGCCCTCACTCCTCCAAACCTTCTGTCAGTGGCCTCCCCAAACTGATCGTTGATGTTCCCATCCATAGTGGAGGAAATCAGCCCGCTCCTCTCGTCTTCCCGTATTATATTACAGAACCTTATAGTGTGGCCTTATTGGTCACAATGTCGGCAGATGGCCGTCCTCGAGTCAAAACGGGGTCTTCCATACCCCTGACTTCCCTAATCCCCCTGGCCTTGATACCCCTGGCCTTGGTACCCTTGGCCTTGGTACCCCTGGCCTTGGTACCCCTGGCCTTGATTCCCTTGGCCTTGGTACCCCTGGCCTTGGTACCCCTGGCCTTGACCATTCCATTGCCTTCCTCTTCCGCCGCCATTCCTACCTCGCCCCCTTCCTCCACCCTTGCCTCCGTTGCCTTGATTGCCCTGCCCCTGGTTCCCACCTCCAACCACGCTTCCCTGTGAACTAGGAGCGGGTGACGGTGGCGGGGCCACAGGCTGGGCATTGGCTGCGGGGTAGATGGGTGGCGGCATACTCGTTTGCGGTCCGGCTACTGGTGGCGGGCTACCCCAAGGTACGATTGCATTGATCACCGGCCAGGGCCACTGTCCGTAGGAGGGCGCCCCTCCTTGCGAGGGGCCCATACTAGATGATGGAGCCGTCACATTCAAAAGGGTTGCTGTCAAGGCTTGAGGTGCCTGCGCTTTTCCTGATCCTTGTCCGCTCTGTGCCAAGTTACGCACTTTGCGCTATGCCTTCGTCAGGCGCAGCGGCACCGGCTCTTCCTCTTCCAAGAGCTCCTCCTGAACAACCTCCTCCATCACCGGCTCCGTCCCTTTCACTTGGACAGTCGTTACTACCCTCCTTTGCACCATCGGCTCTGTCGCATACCCCAGCTGTGCCAATACGTATGTAACAATCCTTGTTACCCCCGGGGTCCCAAAAGTGGTCGCATCTCTTTCCTTTCTCTTCTGCCTTTGCAGGCGTACCTGACGTTGCTCCACCTGGTCGAAACACCCAACTTCTACCCCTCTGTCAATGGTGGCCCAGGTGAGCTTGGTGCTACCCCCTCCATGTCTCGTCAACTCGACGGCCTCCGATGTCGTGAGCAACCCTAGGAAAATGGCGCACTGTGCTTCCTCCGAAATCCCATGGACCTTCCGCGCCCTCTTCTTAAATTCTTGAACAAAGACCCCTATCATCGTAAAATCATCTTTGTTCATCGCCTTAAGGTCCACGGTAGTCAATAGCCTATCTCCCAGGCGGTATTTCCTCTGCATCCCCTCCTTGAACCTCTCCCAGCTACCTTGGGACGCATCTATGACTTTCTTCACTTCCTGGTGGTAGCTGTGGAGGACACACTGAAGAATGCATTGGAACTTTACAACGTCCGACCGCCCAACCAAAGCTTGTTCCACCCGCTCCAGCCATTCTGAAACCCTCTCCCCACAAAAGTGGAAGGTATCGACTTTAGGGATATTGCTCGGGTTCCTTTCATACCGGTCAATGGCCGCAAGGAGGTCATCGAGCGTCAGGCCCTTCTTGGGACCACCCGATGCGCCGCCGCCCTGTGACATCTTGACATACTTTTCCCTTCAAGTTCCCTGATAAGAAAGAAAAAAACAAGCATACTTCGTTTATTCAGCATCGCACCTTGACCGGTCTCTTCCATCCGTCCTACCTATCCCTTACTACATACCTTTACCCAATGCTACACGTTCGTTCTTCATATCTTCCCTTACTCAGGTAGGTAAATTTCCTCACCTATACTTAATCATTCATTATCTTTCCTTACTTTATCGTCCTTCCTTTATGCCCTTTTCTCATTCACTTCTCATACCCGGATGTCGTTCCACCAGGGACAACGGTAGGCTTTTCGTTATCTACGGCAATGACGCCAACCTGTCGAGCGCATCGGTCCGGCACCGCACCAGGGCAGCGCGGGACCCTCCCGGCCGCGTCACGCAGGAGTAGGTTTAAAAATCCTTTGTCGCAAAATATACATGGAGCTTCCGCAAGCCGCTCCGGCTGAGTGCGTCAGCCATACCTCTCGCGAGCCCCTACGATAGGATAGGGCCTACGCGAGGCACGAGTTACCTACACCTTACGGGAGCTGTCACCTCTCTTCGGTGGGCGTATCCCCGCCAAGCTACCAGTCCACAGTACGAAAGCTAATCAGTTGCAATCGCAGAGGTGGACCAGCCGAGGACGTTTCTCGTTCGCTGTAGCATAGGGGGTACGCGCGGTAATACGCCTTTATCGGACCCGCACGCGAATCGGCATCTTGGGGGCTGAGGTCCCAAGCGCAACCCGTCGTCGGTCGACTATGACGCATCCCACACACCATGCGCACTCCACTTTACAAACACACATACACATAAAACAACACATATACGAAACGACACAACACAAACAACGCGACAACGCTCCTAGCCCCTCGGTAGCGAACCCATAACTTTCTAATGCGGAAATCAAACAAACGTAGCGCGAGAGACTTAGTATAAAACCGCGCGGACGCAGGACTAACTCGTATCGACTCGCAATGCAAGCGTACGCAAGCGGTCGCAGTGATGGCGTACTATGTAGTACCCATACTTACACGGTCCTCGTTAATCGCGAGGGTCGCGTTCGACACTCAAGTGTCGGCTGACCCTCGCCAAGAGGGTTAATCTCTCGACGCTGGACAACCGCCATGCGCGGTTGAAGACCACACCCTCTTCTGCACCCTATGCAGAGGGGTTCAGTAGACAACTTTAAGTTGTCGTAGCGGTCGAACATCAAGGGGTTTGACTTTGACGGCTGCCACGGACTATAACGTCCAACTATAAAAACTCCAAAGAGCAAATGATGAAAATGAATCTCCCTTTTTTCTCTCGAGCCATAATCTGGTTAACCCTTGCGCACGATCACTGTAAGTCGCGCGCATACCCGAGACACTTATAGATATATAAGCGTTAACTATAAAGGACGATCACTTCTCATAGTCACAGTAAGGCTCCTCTCAGCCATATAAGTATGAAATCGCAGGCAATCACACCCAGAGTCCGAACCACAACCATACCTGCAATCACATCAACGAGTCAAATCAACAGCCCACGCGCTACACGGTGTCAACCCCAACCACCTTCGACACTCGTACCCCTCGCTTTAGCTATGCAAGCCCCAAACCTCTTGTCCAACCAACCTTAATTAAATACTCAGCACCTTTGTTAAATGACTATTCAATAAAAGTTTGGGTGAAACCTTAATAAAACAACGAAATCACAACGGCTAAAACCTTTTCGGTTGAGTGTGGAGGGTGAGTCGAAATTGAGTCGTAGACCAACGAATCGGCAACCGACCTGTTATCAGTGATAACAGAAAGTGATCCCCAAAGGATCAAGCTGGATCTAGCCTTGAACTTGGATCAAATGATAAAAAAGACCTGTAACACACAGCAGACCAATCCCCAAGCTAAGATCATAAGTGTATGAAGAATACAACTCCATAATACATCCTTACTCAAAATCCCCTTATAAGCTAAACCTAAGTCTACTTTTAAGTTAGTGCTTAAGCGAAAGGTAGACCAACTGCAGAATCTCCCCTTCTCTGGATGGATCGCCTGAATCACCACCTGTCAAAATATAATCTATCTCCTCTAAACTAAGAAAATTTCGGCARCGCTTCCCGTAGGAAAARTGTYTTTCCAGAATTTATAYAAGCCCATATATGAGAGTAGAAATAATCTCTTACTCCTGGAAARTTAAATTTTGTCTAACTYCCTGATTTAGTAAAAATTTGGGCAGCACTCCCTTTACAAAGGRAGAMTTCCTAGATTTATACTAAGTGAGATTTGAACTCACAAGACAAYTTGAGTTCAATTTAGACAAGATTTAACTAACTCCTCAGTTTTGCAGAAATTTCGGCAGCACTCCCTYTAGAAAAGTGTTTTCCCAAACATTTATACAAAGCGAGGTCCAGAACTTGAGAATAACTTTGACTTCTCAAAATCTAATTTTGTCTAACTGCCTGAATTAGTAAAAATTTGGGCAGCACTCCCTCTACAAAAGGAAACTTTCCAGATTCTTACTAAGCCAGATATATGGAAAAGACAAATTGAACTCTGACAAGTCAAAAGTTGACTAACTTCTTGGATTTGTAGAAATTTCAGCAGCGCTTCCCATAGGAAAAGTAGCTTGCCAAGATTTATACAAAGCCAAGTATAAGAAAAAAAATTTCAGAAAATGCAGGAATTGACCTAAGTAAAAAAAATTTATTACAGAAAATGCAGGAATTGACACTAACTCGTATGACTCTAGCACGTGGTGAGCAACTAAAGCGACTACCTATAATACTGAAACTCAAACAGACTAACCATTTCATTCAGTCACATGCAAACCAAACCACGAATGTAAGTACTCTCACCATCCCAAGTTCATTCCATATGAACAGTTCATGAATCTTCAAGTTCTTGAATTTTTATACCCATCTTACATAAGACATAGAGCTGGACCATTCGCCATGGAAACAATGTCCAGCTTGTCTTTATGATATACACGAACAGGTTGCACACCTACTTCTCTCTTTTSTTSGGCAGATGACCAGACCATTCGCCATGGAAACAATGCCTAGTCGCCCTGTGCTGTTTAATATTCAAAATTTAGTATTTCTCTGACTTTGTTTTCAAAAGAAAAAGCAAATATGGGCAGGGGACTGAACCATTCACAGTGRAAACAATGTTCAACTTGCCTAAACTTTTTTCASTTATACTTTGTATTTTTYATTTTCTCTTCTTAATGATATGGCYTAATGCTGGACCATTCACATGAGAAACAATGTCCAGCCGCCAGTTCACATGCAAATATACATAAAGTACTTCCCTTTATACTCAGTTTAATTTATGTGCGTGGTTTTCAGGCTAAACCATTCACCATGGAAACAATGCTTAGCCTTAGACAAAAAATACTCCCTCAGAATAAACAAGAATTTAAACCCCTTCATTCAGGCAAACCCTCAAAGTTAAACTAGAGTAAACAGACCATTCACAGTAGAAACAATGYTTGGTCCTCCAGAAAACAACTAAATAAACATAACAACCAGGCCATTCACAGTAGAAACAATGTTTGGTCCTTCAGAAAACAACCAAATAAACATAGCAACCAGGCCATTCACAGTAGAAACAATGCCTGGCTTTGGTTGACCCTTCCAAACGCATGCAAAACTGTCTTTCTCCCACCTTTCTCCAGTTCTTCCTTAGTCTGCTTTCAGTCAAAGCAAATATGAAACTTAAGCTTCACTCTCACACATTCTTTCCATTTAGTCTGATTAGGTCTTGAAGAGAAAGCAATGATCATAGGAATAAACTTATGCATATACCAATCATACTGCAGGGAGATAGGCAAACATGGGTAGTAGTGGGTTATACAGATGAAAATGGTTTACCTGACAGTTCCCTGCCTCTAGAACTCCTCCTTAGTTCCGGCAGAGCTCCCGCAATCGGTGGGTGGACTCCCCACAGAGTCTTGGTGCGGGCCTATGGGTTGCAATCCCGCCTGCCGCCTTCCTCTCAGAACCACTGGACTAGACTTAGAGTAAGAAGGGTAGAGAAAGGAAGTTTTAGACCCTCGGATCCAAGAAAGGTGCTCTCAGACTCAAAGGAGAGCGCCTTGGTACCTTCAGCGCCTGAGGGCCCTGCAATGGTGGCCAATGTACAAGCTTGGTCAAGTCCAAGTCCAGACTGCTGAACACAATCCTCCTGGTAACTCCTCAAAATTGCAGCAGTAAACTCCCCTTCCCGTCCTTCAAAGACCGCATCGATAATCGGTGTTATTCAACAGCAACAACAACTGTTTTCAGCAACCACAGTCCGCATGTAGTCTGCAAGTGCAGCGACAACATCCAGCGAATCAACCCGTGCGCAACATGTAGTACACAGCGGCAAAACTCCCATAGTATGTATCAACAGATTTTTCACAGCCACGCGGCAGCAATCCTGGCGGCCCTCAGCAATCAAGCAGCAATGCACCATAGGATACAACAACACTCACAGTATCAGCTACGCCACCACCAGGTGGCTTGCTCGCACCCCTAAGTCCGCCTACTACAGGCTGATACGTGCAGCCCACCCACTGTTGCAGCCTCCTGCTGTTCACCAGTTCTCTATTCGAAAAGAGGTAAGCCAACCCCCCCCTTTTCACTCTTCGCTGCCCTCACAGTACCCTGCCAACCGGTCTGGACAACACACCAGTCAACAGGTGAGCCCCCAGCTTCTCGGCCATCGGTTCCCACTGTGCCCTGAGCTAGGGAGTCTCCTCGATGACCATCCGCCACTTGTTGTAGGCCACCTTGGGCGACCCCACCCTGATGTAATTGGCTTGATGGGTGGCAGCGTTCCGACCAGGTAAGTAACCTCTCCTCCTCTTTTTCTCTACGTTGCTTACTGCAAGGGGTCGTGTCCAGTATGAACACGTATGAGAGAATCAAAGAGAAAACAAGGGAAAATCGAGAATGAATCTTTCGCTAAATCGCATCCAGATTCATGCTCCAGGTAAGCCCCCCTCTTTCTGATCCTTCGTATAGCCGACAGCGCAGTCTGTACCTTTCTCAACGCAAAAACTAACCCCTCTTACCTAAGTCCGACTATTTCGACTAATTCGGAGTACTCTAAAACCTCACCTAAGCAACTTTACTTA